CACCCACGGCGAGCACTCTGGCCGCGCGAGGGCGACCGCGGCGCCCGCCGCGAGCGCCCCTTCCACGAGGCCCGCGGTGCCGTCCAGCAGGCCTGACGGCGCGTAGCGGGGGAGGCCGAAACCGCAGCAGCGGTCGCGGGAGTCGGTCCCGCCTCCTCCTCCTCCTCCTCCTCCTCCTCCTCCTCCTCCTTTGGCTCGGCCTCCCTCCTCGGCCTCCTCGTCCTCGTCCTCGTCCTCCTCCTCCTCCTCCTCTTCATCCTCCTCCTCCTTCTCCTCCTCCTCCCGCCTGCAAGCCCCCCCTCCTCCTCTTCCCCTCGGTCGTGGCGAGCACTCTGGCAGCGCAGGAGCGGTCGCGGGAGCCTGTGTGGAGAAAGACAAACAGCGTAAACATAAACTGTTTGAACTCCGCGCGGATTGTGTGGCTCGGCGCTGGGGCCCCCTCTCTGGCGCGCAAAACGCGCCAGGGGCCGCGCCGGAGGCGCCGCAAAGGGGGCCCCTGCGCCGATCCGAGAACTCTTCGCGGAGTTCCGAACATTGATGTTTGTGCTGTTTCCTGTTTTTCGGTAGTATCAAACATGATTGTTGGCTTCGCTTCGCTTCTCTTGAAGCGGCCCCGGGCGGCCCCGGACGGCCCCGGAGGGGTCATCTGCTCCCGAAAATCGTGCAAAACCTCATGACATTCGTGCAGGGACTCCTTTGGTGGCCTCGAAATGGTTCCTGGACGCCCAACGAGCTCCCCAAGACGCCCAAGGTGTCCCAAAGACGGGCTACGAGGCCTCCTCGACGGCAGAAGAGGTCGTCACGAGTCCCCCGGAGGATTCCGAGATGCGTTCCAAGAGGGTCCCTGGACGCAGAAATTTGCCATTCCCTTTCGTGAAACGTACATTTTTCACAAGTTCGGCTTCTGGGTTCTCTAATGGTCCTCGAAATGGTCCTGGACGCCCAACGAGCTCCCCAAGACGCCCAAGGTGTCCCAAAGACGGGCTACGAGGCCTCCTCGACGGCAGAAGAGGTCGTCACGAGTCCCCCGGAGGATTCCGAGATGCGTTCCAAGAGGGTCCCTGGACGCAGAAATTGGCCATTCCCTTCGTGAAACGTACATTTTTCACAAGTTCGGTTTCTGGGTTCTCTGATGGTCCCCGACGGCCTCCAAACCCGCTCCCAGACGCCCCAAGAAGCTTCCAAGAGGGTCCCCCACATACCCCTAGAGGGCCCCCAGACGGGCCCACAGGCGTCCAAGACGGTCCAAGAGGGCTCCGAAAACGGCCTCCCGAGCGGTCCAGAAGCGCTCCGTGCGGCCTCCAAGAGAGCTGCACATGGTCCCTGACGGTCCACGAGCGATCCTCACCAACGGCGACGGCCTCCCGACGGCTCCAGAGGCTCCCAAGATGCCCCAAGAGGCATCCAAGATATGCCCCAAGAGGGCCTCGAGACGCGAAAAATCGCCCATTCCCTTCGTGAAACGTTTATTGTTTGACACGTGGGCCTTTTCGGGTGTCTTTGCTCCTGGATGGCCACAAAGCCCCCCGCACCCGCTCCCAGACGGCCCCAGACGCCTCCAAGAGGGTTCCCCACATAGCCCTAGAGGGCCCCAAGACGGGCCCACAGGCGTCCAAGGTGGCCCCAGAGGGGTCCGAAAACGGTCCCAAGAGCGCTCCAGGAGCGCTCCGACTGGCCTCCAAGAGAGCTCCACATGGTCCCTGACGGTCCACGAGCGATCCTCACCAACGGCGACGGCCTCCCGACGGCTCCAGAGGCTCCCACGATGCCCCAAGAGGCATCCAAGATATCCCCCACGAGGGCCTCGAGACGGCTCCCGGTCCTGTCGGCGTTGAACGACACTCCGCGACGACAACGACAACGACGGACGACCCTCCGATCGATCGCCCAACGGCCACCCCCACAGCACAGCAATTCTCCGACACGCTCAAAAAAACGACCTGCAGAGGCCTGCAGCCATCGCTGCGGCTGCCGCGAGCCCCACGTGCATGGGGACCCTGGGCGCGCGCGCATATGGGCCGAAACTGACTACGGAAACTGAGACCAAGAGGATGGGCGGCCTCACTACGCACCGAGGATGCTTCCTCCTTCCTCACCGCTTCCCCCCTTGGAAGGAACGGGCCTACCTGGCGCCGAATGAACACACCACGAGCCAATTTTTGAGCCAAAAAACACGCTGCCGAGTGACACCGCGCAGTGCCACCTCTGTGAACGCATGCCTGCCCATGATAGGCACGCGTGTGTGAATATGTATATGTATATGTACATATATATATATATATATATACATATACAAATTATAAATAGGGTTGGGTGTGTATATGTACATATACAATAATACACAAGGGTAATATATATATATATATATATATATATTATATATATATATATATATTATTTTTATTGAATAGATGCACAGAACATATGCAGATTCGCGTGACGGCCTGGTTCGGCGGCTGCTGAGGGTAGGCCTGGTGCGACGCAGCAACGGCCCGCGGCGGTTTGTCTCGGCGACATGGGGGGCTCCACCGAACACGATACTCACAGCAACAGCGTCCCTCAGAATTGCATAACGTTGGATTTCTTGTCGCGTGGCTGGAAGGAGGAGGGTTGCGATCCCTCAGGGCGTGCTCCGTATGCCATCACTCTGGTGGCGATGGGAGTCCTGACTGTCGACGGTGACGACACATTGCACGAGTAAGACCACGCGGGAGATAGAAAGAGACACTATGTTGGAACTGTCCGGACCCCCCCCCAGGGCTTTCCAGGAGTCCCAAGGGGTCGGCGGATATGGCGTAAGCCTATAGATCAATCAAACATGATTGTTGGCTTCGCTTCGCTTCTCTTGAAAACGCGGCAACGCAACGGGAACGGTACGAGCCTCGCATTGAACCGTTTCGTTTTGAAGTGCCGCCTCTGGAAACCAACCCAAACAGCCGTTCGCTGGCACCAGACAAGACCAAAGACAGCAAAAGCTGCAACGTCGTGGAAATAGGATGATTACGTCGCCGTCGTCGTCGATTTCGTCGATTTCGTCGTCGTCGTCGTCGTCGTCGTCGTCATGGTGGACGTCCGTGTCATCCTCCTTCTCCCCATCCCCCGGCATCTGACGTCCGACAAAACATCACATCGGAGCCCTAGACCCTACATTCCAGCACAATGTTGCAAGCTGGATCGAACCAGACGAAAACGCCCAAGGTGAAACCATTGCATCGCCAGGACCTCAGGGTCTCCCCTCCCTTTCCTCCTCCTCCTCCTCCTCCTCTGCTTTTCCTTTTCCTCCTCCTCCCGCACTCCTCCGCTGCCCTTCCTCCTCCTTATCCTCCTCCTCGTCCTCCTCCTCGTCCTCCTCCCTCCTCCTCCTCCTCCTCCTCCTCCTCCTCCTCCTCCCTTCGCCTCCTCCCTCCTCCTCTTCCTCCTCCTCCTCTTCCTCCACCTGCTCCTCCTCCTCCTCCTCCTCCTCCTCCTCTCATCATCATCATCCTCCACCCTCCTCCCCATCCTCCTCCTCCTCCTCCCCCTTCCCCTCCCTCTCCTCTCACCCTCACCCCCTCCCTCCTCCCTCTCCTCCCCCTCCTCCTCCTCCTCTTCCTCCTCCTCCTCCTCCTCCTCGCCCTTCTACTCCTCCTCCTGCACCTCCTCCCCCTCCTCCTCCTCCCTCCTCCTCGTCCCTCCCGTCCCCTCCTCCCTCCTACCTCCTCGTCCTCCTCCTCCTCCTCGTCCTCCTCCTCCTCCTCTTCCTCCTCCTCCTCCTTCCTCCTCGTCCTCCTCCTCCTCCTCCTCCTTCTCCTCCTCCTCCTCCTCCTCCTCCTCACCCACATTGCATGCTGCATGCTACTGAGGGGAATTCGTGCACCCCTCGGCCCCAACTCGCAGCCCAATCTAGATATACGATGGGCTGGGACGCCCACGGCTCGCGCGCAATCTTCGTGGGACTGCGCCGCCAGGGACGTGGGCCACCGCTGCAGTCCTTGTGGCAGCTGGCCCCTGAGAAGTCGCGTCTTGGCCTTCTTACCCGTACTTGTGGGGGGCACAAGGAGCATTAAAGGCATTCGACGTCGACGCTTCTCCGCATTTGTTGCAGAAAGCCACCCCACGGAAGGCATGGAGGTGCGGGAGGTGCGTCGCACGGAACGTCCAGGCATGACTCGACCTGCACAGCTGGCGCAGCCAAAACTCCTTGGTCCCTCGAGCCTGGTACCCGAAACAGATGTTGCACCGCAGTCCCTCAGGGACCTCCTCGAAGACATGCTGAGCATGGCCCCGCTTTTTGGGAGCCAGGACCCGTCCCTTCTTCCAGGGGGGCAGGGGGCGGCGCGGGGAAACCATCCCCAAACAACTCTTGAATGACAGCTGAACGGCGCTGGACCAGCCGCAGCTCTCGGTCGGCCTCCAGCGCGGGTCGAGTGACCCGCTCAGACAACTGGACACGGGTGGCTGCATCACTGGCAATTCGATCGGCGAGCTCATTGGCAAGATGGAGCCAAGGCTGGATGTTACAGCCCCAAAGATCGGACTCCGTAGGGTGAGACTTGGTTTTGTGACACTCCACGGTCCCGTCGAACCACTGGTGGGCCCCCCAGACAAACATGCCAAAGATCAGCGTTGGTTCTATATTTCCACTGGGCCCCTCGCAGAAATCCTCCAAATACATAGGCAGAGCCGGTCACGATCAGGAGCTCGCCAGCAAGATGGCGAAGGGCATGGACGGCCGCTTACAGCTCACCGCGGTTACTGGCCTGCTTTCCTGACAGGCCACCTAAAAGTGCTCCTGGAGTCTCCAGATCGGCGACCTTGATTCCTACTCCCCAATCAATTCTCCTGAGCCTCGACTCCAACGGGAAACGGCCTCCTCCAGTTTCGGTCCCCGCCAGGAACTGCTCCTCCTCCTCCTCCTCCTCCTCCTCCTCCTCCTCCCTGCTCCTGTTTCTCCTCCTCCTCCTCCTCCTCCTCCTCTTCCTCCTCCTCCTCCCCGTTCCTCCTCTTCCTCCCCCCCCTCCTCCCCCCCCCTCCTCCTCCTCCTTCTCCTCCTCCTCCTCCTCTTCCTCCTCCTCCTCCTCCTCCTCCTCCTCCTCCTCCGGTCGTGTTCACCCATGAGCTCGACCAGCTGGTCTTCGACGCGGAGGGGGGCGAAGCGGCCGTGGGTGCTGTCAGGCCGCCCTCCTTTACCACCAAGGGTGCCCACCTCTCCGCCGCGTCGGCGGAAGATGGAGGATGGGCACTGGATTCCGGTGCACCCGCAGCCCGTGGCCAAGCAGGCCCCCTGGCGCAGGGCGGCCCGGAAGCCGACCAGGGACTCCTGCGGGACCAGATCCTGCAGAATCGCCAGGAGTTCGAGGCCGCCAAAACGAAGGGCTCATCGGAGCCTGTAACCCAGGCCTGCTCTGCGGCTTCGGCGGCCAGTGCGGAGACGGCCCCAGAGGCAAAGGTCAAGACTTGGAAGTGCTCGGACCCGAAGTGCATGTTCAAGAACTTCGGGGTTCGCGAGCACTGCTGGATGTGCACTGCACGGGCCCTTCCTCATGTACTGGAGCAGCACTCGGCGATCCGCCGTCGGGCGATGCAGGGAGTGCAGCAGGAGACGAAGGGGGAGCCGCAGGGCGCTGTCAAGCTGAAGGTGCACGAGGGCATCTGCACGAAGGAGACGGAGGATCAGCTCACAGTGAAGGAGAGGTTGATGATGCTGGCCGCCGAGAGGGACACTCTTTGGGCGATCAGTTGCCGGCTGGAGGAGGAGAGCAGGTGCTTCGCGCAGTCGGTGCTGGATCGCAGGCTGGACAGCGTGCTGACTCCTCAGCCCGCTGCTTCTACATCGGAGATGGTGCCTCCCAAGACGAAGACGAACAGGTGGTCCCGCCAGCAGGACAGGGAGGCTTTGGTGGAGAGCTTGATCGCCCAGGTCGTTGCGGAGATCAAGTAGAGGATGGGCCTCACTACTGCAGGAACGTGTTGGACTACGCGTTCACGTTGTGGAGGCGCCAGGTCGTCCGTGACCGCGGCTGTGTCTCCACTGGCGGGAACGCCCACGACTTCAAGAACTTCAATGGCAATGGTGTCGCCGAGCAGAGCGTCTTCTGGGGCCTCGACACGCTGGGCCATGGCGCGAACTACGGGGAAGACGAGGCGAAGGACCACGGGCCGAATCCCGTGGGCGCAGGGCTCTACGGCCACGTCGGTGGCGGAGACTTGGGCTCTGATATGCACGATCGCGACGACGGCGAGGAGTTCACAAGCGGCATCCCGGACCTGCCTCCGGTGCCGCTCTGGCCCTCCTTGCTTGTCGAGCTGGACGTCGTCACCGACAGCACTGCAGCTGTTGCCAAGGACGGCGACGAGTTGACTGGCGAACACTACCGAGCGAAACTCGAAAAGTGCTTGGCCCTCTTCTATGACTCGGGCAGCAGCTCTGACAAGTCGAAGGCAATTGAAGAGGTCAAGGCGATGCGTGCCATGGCCGCCGACTGGTGATGTGCCTCGTGTTTGCATGTTGCGCTAAGATGCCCCGCCGCATTTCTCGTCGCCTGCTGGTTTCGCCTCGTTTTGGCCTCCGGGCCAATCTTCCGCTCGTGGCGGGTCGCCGCTGCCGGGCGCTCTTCGAAATACTTGTTCTTCCGCCGAGCTGCGGCTCGTGCGGCGGCGTGGGCTCCCTGCCATCGCTCCTGCTGGCCTCAGACAGCAGGAGCAGCAGCGGGCAGCCTGCCAGTAGATTTTCGCTGGGCCATCGGGTTCGGCATCCGCTGCTGGGCATAGGCGGGGCTGCGTGGCCAGTCTCGTCGGGCGCAGTGCTCAGCATGTCGGCCCGTTGGGGCTGCCTCGGCTTGCGTGCCAGCGGTCATGGAACGACCGGTCTCATCAGAGCCCTCAGAGCCTTCCTCCTCCCTCGTGTCGCCGTCTGGCCATCGCTCGGACGCCCATTTCCTGTGTGCTTTTTTCGGTTTCGTGCGTGGTTTTTTCTCCAAATGATCCAGGATGCTCCTCGATGGTCCCCGCCTCAGGAAAAATGCACACGTCCGAGCGATGCCAAGCCGTCGCCGTGCACGGCTCCGCCCGCCCCCCCCGGGAGGGTCCCGGCAGCTCGGCGGCCGCCGCGGCGGCGGCCGCCGCCCAGGGGCCGGCCGCCGCCGGGGAGGGCGCGGTGCTGGGCAGCTCCGCCGCGGCGGCGCGGCCACCTCTGGCGGCGCGCACGAGGGGTTAGAAGAGCATTCTTCAGAGAAAGAGGAGAGAGGGAGAGAGAGGGAGAGAGGGAGAGAAGGAAGAAGGAGAAGGAAGAGGAAGAGGAGGAGGAAGAGGAGGAGGAGGAGGAGGAGGAGGACGAGGAGGAGGAGGAGGAGATGGAGGAGGGGGCATTTGTTGTTAAACAGGCGGCGGTGGTTCGCCGTAGGCGTCTTCGATACAGTCGGACCTGGGCCAGAAAAAAACATCCTTCAAGAACATGGGACCCTCCGCCAGCCAAAGTAGAGAACATTCGAGAGTACCCACCCCCATGGAGGCACAAGAACATCCAACAGACACGAAGAACATGAGGGCACCCTCCCCTAACCGATCTCGATCTTATACCTCGGCCCGACTGTATCGGAGAGGGGAGGGGGCTTCTCAGAAACAGGCTGCGTCTGAGAAGGCGCCGGCCCTACACCTTCAGAGAAGAACCGCGCCTTTTAAGAAGCAGGGTGCTTCTAAGAAGCCTGCCCCACTGCCCCTACCCCCCTCTATGCGCGTGGCCGACTCTCGGCGCGCGGGGAGAGGGGCGCAGGGACAACAACGATAAAGTCCGGATGTTTTGCGTAGCGTATCGGCGTGCTGGTTCTGTCACACCACGCTTCGGTGCGACACGCGAGTCACGTCCCGTTTCAAAGCGTCAACGTCTCGAACTCTTCTTGGGCTCCCACCAAGCAGAGCGGAGCGACAAGCTATCCGCTTGAAGGGCATAGCGGGGGGGCATGGCCAACCAATACCCAACCCAGACACGCTCGCCTCCTGAAGAAATCGAGGAGGGAGGTCTTTGGTCGTGTGAAGAAATCAAGGCGGGAGGTGTTTGGTCGTCTTGGGCATCTGGGGACCCCTATCTCGGGCCTCGGGGCCGTCAACAAAAAAGACTCGGGATGAAAAGCTGGCTCCAGGGAACAGGTCGGGACTTCTGGGGATCCCTTTTTCTACAAGCATCAAGACATCGCATGCCTGGGAAGGGCATGGCCAACCCATACCCAACCCATACCCGAGGTGGTAAGAAGGCTTCGGGTTGCGCACAGGCCAGCCACCCCCCAGGTAGTCTTAGGTCGGGCCTGTCCCCCTACAGGGGGATTTTGGATGAAAAATTGAAAATAATCAAAAATATATCAAAAACACCCCAAACTAGTCGAAAAATCGTCCCAATAATATGTTTGACTACTCTTGGATATTCTAGGGGATCGCAAGCGAACCCTACACCTACCCCCCAGGATTTCTGAGGGGGAGGCTGGGGTCCACTTCTCTCGGGAGCTCGCGAGCGAAGTGAACCCCACCCTCCCCCTCAGAAATCGTGGGGGGTAGGGTAGGGTTCGCATGTGGCCCCCTATGTTCCTCCTGTAGAGGGACAGGCCCGACTTTCAGGTAATTAGTCCATGCTGGCCCCTCCAGGCCCCCATGGGTGGTCCCAGCTGGCCTGCCTTAGCCCGCCGAGTAGCCCAGGGCGGTCTCAACACCCCGGCGCCCCTCAGGCGCTCCGCGCCCCAGGGTTGAGGTGTTGAGACCGCCCTGGGCTACTCGGGGCCTGTTGAGACCAGCCGGGGCTGCCTTGGGGGTCTGTCTGTGCGCACCCCGAGACCTTACCCACCCAGGGAAAGGTCTAAGCGGTAGACGCGACAGGCCGATCCAGCAGGCGGTGGGCCTGATCAACGCTATATCCCTGCACACGGAGAGGTTGCAGACGCCTGTAGAGGAAATCGCTGATGATGGTGAATTGGCCCAAAGCGCTTAGCACGCGAAGCCACTCCTGGGTTTGCAGGAGTCCCAGGGGGCAAAAACATACCCGTGGCACAACATATCACTGCTTCAGCAAGAAAGGTGAATCCATCATTATCATCATCATCATCATCATCATCATCATCATCATCATCATCACCATCATCATCATCATCATCATCATCATCATCATCATCATTAGCATCATCATCATCATCATCATTAGCATCATCATCATCATCATCATCATCATCATCATCATCATCATCATCATTATCATCGTCATCATCATCATCATCAGCATCAGCATCATCATCATCCTCATCATCGTCATCATCATCACCATCATCAGCATCACCATCAGCATCAACATCAGCATCATCATCATTATCATCATACTAATCATGATCACCATCACCATCATCATCAGCAGCATGATCATCCTTAGTATGTTCATCACCATCGTCACCATCATCGTTATCATCAGCATTGTCATCAGCATCAGCATCATTGTCGTCATCATCATGGTCAGCATCACCATCATCATCATCAGCATCATCACCACCGCCATCACCATCACCATCACCACCGCCATCACCACCACCACCACCACCATCATACTCATCATCATCACCATCATCACCGTAACCATCTTGATCATCATCAGCCATCACCGTCATCAGCATGATCATGATCATGATCATGATCATGATCATCATCATCATCATCATCATCATCATCATCATCATCATTAGCATCATCAGTAGTATCATCGCCATCGTCATCAGCATCAGCACCAGCATCATTATCATCATCATCATCATCATCATCAGGAGCAGCATCAGCATCATCATCACCATAATATTTCAGACGCCTCCTCCTCCTCTTTCTCGTTCTCCTCCTCTTCCTCCTCCTCCTTCTGCTCCTCCTCCTCGTCCTCCTCCTCCTCCTCCTCCTCGTCCTCCTCCTCCTCCTCCTCCTACTTCTCTTCCTCATCGTCATCCTCCTCCTCCTTCTCCTCCCGCCCTCCTCCCCCCCCTTCCGTTGCACCACGACCACGACAACGCCGACGACAGCGGCAACAGCGACGGGGACGACGACGGAGACGCCGACGACGACGGTGGACTGGCGACTGTCGACGACGGTCTACGTTCGACGGTCGACGGTCGACTGTCGGTGGTCCACGGTCGACGGCGACGACGACGACGACGCCGACGCCGACGACCCGCCCACGAGGATTCGCCTCGGTCTGGAGGGGGAGGGGGAAAGGAAGCATCGAGGGATCGAGGTTCGAGCCTGGAGCACCGAGCCTCGAGGATCGAGCGTCGAGGATGTAGCATCGAACACCGACGGCTGTCGAGGAGGCGGGCGCAGCGCGGCACGTGCCACGCAAAGAGGCGCGCCAGAGGTCGGAGTCGGAGGGCGGGATGGCCGTCCTGCTCCCCGCGCGCCAATTCACCGTCATCAGCGACTTCCTCTACAGGCGGAGGAGAAGGAGGAGGAGGGAGGAGGAGGGAGGAGGAGGGAGGAGGAGGGAGGAGCGAACGTAACCTTGAAGGAAGGTTCGTCCGCGCTTAGCCACGCCGCGGCGCGCCCGCACCTCCACTCAGGTCAGCAGGAAGCTGGAGGGCGCGGCGAGCGGCGGCGAAAGCCGTGTTCTGGTTGTGGTAGGACATCGGGAGGGGGTAGTCCTTGGTGAGGTGGTATGCCCGCGTCGCGACGGCGAGGCGCGTGGCGGAGTTCGGGATGCCGTTCTCGCCGTCGAACGGGTGCGACAGCTCGGGGAGCGCCATGCGCGTGAGGAGGTCGGCGCTCAGCTGGCCGCGGGGCAAGCTCAGCTGGTGCCACATGCGCTCGCATGTCATGTAGTGCTGAATGTTATCCTTGGCGAGCGGGTGCGTGCACCCGAAGTGGCAGGGGCGCTTGTCCTGGATGACATGCATGCGGTAGCTGGTGGCCCATGCGCCCACGAGGGCCTTCACTGTGGCCCACATCCGTGCGGGCGGTTGCGTAGCCAGGTAGGTGCGCAGGCGTTTCCAGCGAGCTGGAAGGTCGGCGGGAACCCGCTGGAGACGAAGAAGATCAGGCGGCTCGTCCTCGTCGTCGGGAGGGTCTTCGTCGCCCTCGGGGATGTCGGCGTCACTGATGTCGGTGTCGGGCAGCTGGTACGGGAGAAAGTTGGCGACCCAGCGGCGGCGGGCACGGTGTTGGGCAGCTTCGTGCTGGTGTAGCGAAATCTGGCTGCTCGGTTCATCTGAGCGGGTCCGTGTTCTTGAGAGACGGTGTTCGAGGAGGATTATGCCAGGACCGCTGTTGTCCCATGCCTGCTGACACATGTCGGTGGCGATCTGTCGACGGCGAGTGGATGTGGCGTAAAGCGGGCGAAAGGTCTCGGACCCGAGAAGCTCGTACAGGTACTCCGTGCACCACTGCATCCAGTCTGAGCGGTTGTCAATCGTGCGGTCATTGAGCAGGATGTCGGGAAGCCAGTGGGCGGCCCACGCGCGAGCGCGGTCTGCCAGACGTTCTTG